CTGCCAAGCCCCTCTAATATGTTCCCGGAAGACTAAGTCTCCACCATTTGGGTCCAAGTCAGGTTCTGTCAAGGCAATTGCCCCGGCTGGGTTGAGGGTTCCATTGAGATTCTCTTGGTGGAAGCATTGGTCCTCTTCATTAGTCTTATTTATAACCAGCCATCTCTCATTTGCAGTTAACAGGATGTTAAAGAGAGCCTGTACATCTGTCCAATTTGGATGATGAGTGGCAAAAATGGAAGTGACAAGATCTTCCATTTTCTGTGGATGCTCCCTATGAGGGGTTGGAATTCTAACAAATCAGTAAGTCTGAAGTGGAAAACAGACTATAGGCCCAATAGTAGCCAGCAGGCTGGCTTTCCTGATTTACTCCACGTATAGGATATTGCTTCAAAGGGAACTGGCTTGCTAAGGATTGGGAGGCTTCCTGGAAACATTTGGTGCCTTGATGGGTCTTCAAGAGGGAGACCCATCATTCATCATACAGGGGTGGGGCTCTTGGCTCTCTGGGCCCTATTTCAGGGGTAGCTAATGGTGGGGATAGGATGGAGTAGAACCTCCCACTACAAACCTTTGTCCCCTAGGTTCAGGGCATTAACGAGGCTTCTTTCCTCATCCTCCTTTTATTCCTGTGTCCTACTATCAGGAAGAAGTTTCCAGACCCCCTCCCTCCTCTGCACCAACAAGTCAACATCTGTCTATGGTGAAGCCCTGTTATGCAATGACATAAACGCCTTGACATAACTGATTTCACCCTATTTGTGTAACTGTTGGTAATACTGTGACAATTACATGATACAGTAATCTAAAGAATCATCCACGGGCCACCTTTCCCCACAATCCAAAACATTCAAAGGTCACAAAGTATTACAATAATAAGCCAATACCTCTTTAGGCATTGGATAATGGTTGTACATACTCCAGTCCATTAACATTCTACCCACTGGGCTCCCTCTAGGAACCAACTCAGAACAACCCCTGCTGTCATGGATACACAGAAAGCCCAACCCTATGACCAGAAGAAGCCAGGCAACCTGGGAACATATAGATAAAACTGGCTTCCACAACTCCATTAGTTCAACAAATGCTCATAAGAAAGTTTTCTGTCAACCAATCTCACAATGTTTGTCAAGCAATGGCCTACCCAAAACTCAGCCAGTCTTCACCCAGATTCTGGTTTGCAGCCTCAAAACTCAGGTGATTCTTTCTTCTTTCCAGAGTTTATTCCCTTCCCAGACCCATTTCCTTTCTACCTGCCAGGTGTGTTTAAGTGACTAACATCTCTAGTGGGCATGCAGAGAAATTCCCAGCAACTGGAAAACCCCACAGTCCCACTCCTTGGCTTTAGGTGGGGAATTGACCTCCCATGACCAACTAGGGTCCTATGTTGGGTGCTATTACTGTTACCTAAAACCAACCAGTGGGGCACTGCAGCAGGAGCTAGAAAAAGCACATTGTGATAGCAAGAAGCATGAGCAAAGCCCTTATGTGCCTACAGTGGCCTCCATCAATGAGGCCTAGGATCTTGTTCACTGCAAAGAAGGTACTCAGAGAGTCCCAGGAAGGCATGAGAATGTATGTGTGTGTGTGTGTGCACATGTGCTCTTGTGAATGGTTGTACTTAATAAACAAGAAGGAGAGGAGGACTCAGGCCTTGTTCCATCTGCATCAAATATAAATCAATTAAACATCCCAATCAAGTATGGAGAATTGGCACCTGCCTTGCCAGGCTCCAGAAAGGTAAAGGCAGAAGCAAAACCATAGCTAGGTGACTGAAACTTGCAGTTTCCACTTGGCAAAGTCTGTGAGGTTTACTTGTAAAGGAGATACTGAAGAAGGCCCTACTGGGAGTAGGATGGCACTTCATCCCATTGAATGTTAATTCTGCATCTTTTCCTTATAGGTGGGGACAGCGTGAGAGAAGACAGGTCCTGGGGTTCTGGGCCCTGTCTCTGTTTCTATCTCTTGCACACCTATGTACACAAACAATATAACACTCATGTGTGTAGGCACACACAAGTCTTGAAGTATCCTGTGGTCTCTTGGCATGTGTGTAAAACCTGCCTGTCCTGTATGAGCAAAAGACAGTTCCTCACCCCTCAGCATGATGTCAGGGCACTGGGGCAACCTGAGGAATCAGAACCACAAGATGCTGCTGGAGGATGATGCTAGCCAAGCCTGTCTAGGCAAAAGATGTTAGACTAGATATCAGGAGGAAATTCTTTCACCACATGGCCTTCCAGAGGTGGAAGGCAGGGGTGGTAAATGCTTTGCAAGTCCTGCTGTTGACCTGCCCAAAGTACCAGAGGCAGGTGGTAGGCAGTCCTGCCTGGCAGAAAAGTGCCAGCAGTGGAGGCAAGGTGGTCATCCAGAATGGCCCTGGGCCTCACAACAGTCTCAGAAGCTGCCTTTATTCTGACTCTTGCCACAACTTTGTTAGCCATTGTACTGAACTCCAAGATGTAGAATTTCTGTTTGACTTCAGTGATACCTTACCACCCAGTCTCAGTGTTCTTAACTGTGAAATGGGGGAATAAAGGGATATGCACACAGTGGTTTTGAATCTAAAGTGAGAGGTTTATGGAATACATACCTATGCAAAGGTGAGGCCTATCTGCACTGACACTGGCTGCTCCTCTCTTCAGCATGTCCTCCTCTGGAGAAACTGAGATCCATAGGAGACAAGCACTCTGTGGGCTGTGAAAATGGACACCAATTGCCCATCATAGATTCTCCTCATTCATCCACCGAGATTAGGTGCCTTGTTTGTGGGGCCCAGTATACAATGATGATGTGTACTAAAGATGTGTTCTAAAATTATGAAGAATTTTAAGACAGTGACAGCAGAACATTAAACCAAGTGTGGGCCCTTTCAGACTGCCCAGGCTATACCCCCTTGAGACCGGCCCTGCACCCACATCCTCTCCCCATCCTCCAACACCACCTTGCAGCATGTGTTTTTCCATCAAAAAGTGTGACAAGGGGAAGCATTAAGGCATCCATGCCCTGCTTCAGGGACTATCTGAAAGGCATTTTAAGTACATTTAAGTTTGTTTCCACTCACAGTCATTACCTGACCCACAAATCCCTCTTGGCAGCAATAGACTGGACCCCATATGGATTCTGCAGGGCTGGATTCTGCGAGCCAAGAGCAGATAGGGTCTATTCTGCCCTGACAAATGTAGTCTGTGTTGGGAATGGGACTGGATCACCTTGGAGGTAAGGGCTCTCAGGAGCTTGGTTCATCCCACCTCCCAGCCCTGAACCACTGAAAGTGTATGCACTCTAGGAGACTCCCCAGAGAAGGAGCACTATACTGGATATGTGCCTATTTTCCTGGCAGCTGGGGCACTCTGAGTGAAGCATCTCTCCCTTGACAAGACCCATCTTCAAGGCCTTCCTCTCAGAGTGGCTCCAAAGGCAGTAGGTTCTTCCAGTGACCAGGGCCAAGGGTATGTGTTCCAAGATAGCAAGCCTGCAGAGGCTATGTTGCCTCTCATGACATAAGCTGAGTTGTCAAGTCATCACACAGTGTTCTCATGCTGGTACCCTGGAGCAAGAATGAAGGACCCACTTCTGTGGAGGTATTAGGCACACTGAGAAGAGCTGGTAGTCTCATGGGCTTCTGGAAGACCCAGGCTGCTCAGATCTGAGTGCCATCTTGTGGATGTATAGCTGCCCTTCTCTCCTTCCCACTCAGTGGGATTCCCTGCAAGCCTTGAGATTTGAGACTCAGTGGCAGCATCTTAGATCACTAGTGGTTAGTGCATGCCCTTCTGCTGACTGTGGTCAGCATCTGTCTTCCTCGTGGCAGTTTCCTAACCCTACCCACAGCCCCTCAGTGAGCAGTTTTTTAGGCACAATTTACTTAGGTTGAAATGCACAAATCTTGGCTGTCCATTGTTGACAGATGGATGTGCCCATGTGACCTATACCCCTATCACTATATGGAAACTTTATATTCCCCAGAACATTCTTTCCTGCCCTACCCAGTCTGTTGCCTCCCCACCCACAACAGGTAGCCAGTTTGATTTCTACCATCTAAAATCAGTCTAGAATTGTGCCATGTGTATTCTTTTGTGCCTGACTTCTGCTTAGCCTGATGTCTGAGACCTGTTCAGGTCATTGTGTATATGAATAGCTCATCTCTTTTCATTGGTTCATAGGATGCCGTGCTGTTGGCTTATCCATTCACCCCTGAAGGTCATTATGGTTGCTTCCTGTTTGTGACTGTGAATAGCCCTGCCACTTGTGAATACGTCGTTTTTATTTCTCTTGGACAAATGTAGTGGAATTTCTGGGTCATATAGTAGGAATGTGTTTAACTTTAGATAAAAATTTGTTGTATTGTAATAAAGTTATTTTTTAATTTTATTTATTTATTTTTAGAGAGAGGGGAAGGGAGGGAGAAAGAGAGGGAGAGAAACATCAATGCATGGTTGCCTCTCACGTGGCACCCCCAGGGACCTGACTTGCAACCCAGACTTGTGCCCTAACCAAGGATCAAACCAGCAACCCTTTGATTCACAGCCCATGCTCAATCCACTGAGCTACACCAGCCAGGACTGTAGTAAAGTTATTTGATTCATGTTTGGTGATTCTTGCCTGCCCTGCTTATCTGGCTCAAGGTGATGTATTCCAAAGCCTGCAGGAACTCCCCAGGTGTGTTGTTTACATGCTTATCAAGCTTGGGGAGTTGACAATGATTTTACAACTTTTGTGTACTGCTCCTTTTCCTCCATGTCCTATTTTAAAGCAGTACATCTTTAGCTAGTATTTAGCTATACAAATAATTGTGTCAGTGTTCTTGGAACTACAGATGAGAGTCCTACTATATTCAGAATTTTAAATTAGTGAAAATATATTTTTTTGGTCCATGTGAATCTTTTATCAAAGTATGGAATAAAGCCACTACGGAATGCCAGCCTGCCTAGGAGGCCTGCTCCTGGCTCAGTAATCATCCCCTCCTCCTCCCTCACTCAATTCCCTACTCCCTACAGCCCCGCTGGGACTCTACTTCTCCAGGGACACTTACTGGGAGAAGCTGTACCTGGACCAGCCAGCCGGAATGCCCCTGCTCTATGTCCACGCCCTGCGTGATGCCCCTGAGGAAGTACCCAGCTTCCATCTTGGCCAGCACCTCTACAGCGTCTATGGCACACGGCTGCATGAAAACAACTGGATTCGCATCCAGGAGGACACAGGCCTTCTCTACCTTAACTGGAGTCTGGACCACAGCTCCTGGGTGAAGCTTAGCATCCGAAGTAAGGCAGCAGAAGCCCTGTCCCGACCCCTTCTTCTTTTCCCACAGCCAATGGCACACTTACACTAAGGCTCAGAGAGTGGACTTCTGCTGAAGAGTGAAAGAGGTTGGCCTGACTTTGTATCCAGCCTGGCAAGGGAGCCAGGGCAAAGTAGGGGGCTGTTGGTGGCCCTGGGGCTTTCTGATGCTGTTAGCATTTTGAAGGACCTATGTGGAGGATGTGGGTGCACTCACCATGCTGGACCCAGATGACTTTACCAGTTGGGTTAACAAGGATTTAGGGCTTTGAGAGGGGTTAATAGAGGCTAGAAAGAATCCCAAGGTTTATATTTAACAAATAATTTGGAACTTTCTAAAGTAAAGCTACCCTTGGTACCTGGTGGGGATTTGGATCTAGTGCCAAGGAGGAAAGTGGAGTAGAAGGAAGAGTTGGCCAGATAGATCTTCAGAGCAGGAGTCAGAGCCTAAGTGAAGGCTATGTGTGTGACCCTGGTATAGCAGGGAGGAAGGGATGTTAAGTAGAGTTTGGCCTTGTGGCACAAAACAGTGATTGTATACCCAGTAGCTCCCTAGTGAACTCTCACATCAGCCCTGAGCTTCCGTGTGTGGGTAAGAGGCAGGCAGCCTGTGAATGAAGGTGGCTGGCACTACATTCAGAGCCATGAATGACTGCACGCATTTGTCAAGTAAAATCAGCGTTCCCTAGTAAAGAGCACACCCTGGGTGGCTCCCGAAAGAGATGATGTCTGAGATGGATTTTGTTTATACACGCACTTACTTGTCATCATTTTCATTCCCATCTGTGGGAACTTCAAGAGCCAGGGTCCCTGGGATAGAAGCCAGAGTAGAATTTTCTAAGGGTACCATTGCATAGGAGGCCTCTTCTGTTCATGATTGGAGATCAGTTTCATGCACCTGTTGGGTAGAGTCAGGAGAGAAATCAGTAATAGAAACAGGGAAAATTTGTACAGAGAATTAGTAACTATGACAGGGGATTGGAGCAACAAAAAACAGGCTAGTAAGAGGCAAAGAGAACTAATGAATATGGAAAAGCAGATGTGAGGAGCAGCCACTACCCTAGGGCCGAGAAACAGGGTTCAGAAAGAGTCCCCCACTCTAGCTAAGGTCTAGACCTTATTGGAAGGGCAGTCACTGTGGTGCCCCATGATGAAATTTGCTAGAAATCACACCTCTAGATGCTAGATACTCTGACCACAGGTTATGTTTCTGCAGAAGTGCTCCATAATGAAACTGCCTGGGGGAGGGTGTGAAGGAGAGGCCCACATTAGCAGAAGTCACCCTGGGGAAGCTCCTGATCTCGTGTTAGACTCCAGGCTTGAGTGATAGAGAAGCTGGTGGGGGAAACAGTGGGGGCACAGGGGAGGTGGGGGCACAGACCAGGGACAGGGGACTTGAGGGTAAGCTTGAGACCCAGCACTCAGGGCACTTTCCTGAGGAGGAGTGAGCTGAGACCTGAATTATAAGAGGGGTGGGCCTGTGGTACTTCTCTAGTCAGTACGGGGCAAGTGGGAGGTACTGGCTAAGTCAGAGACCCCAGCAGAGCCCTGCAGACCATGATGAAGACTGGGCTTTACACCAGCCCTGGAGTTCCTGCCCTCTCCCCTCTCTGTTCCACATAACCTGACAGGTGTGGCTGATACCCCACTGGGCCTGACTTTTCTCTCTCTGCAGATGGTGGCTTTCCCCTGCTTACTGCCTACGTCCAGGTCTTCCTGTTGCCCACATCCCTACGTGAGGGTGAATGCCAGTGGCCAGGCTGTGCCCGTGTGTACTTTTCCTTTATCAACACCACCTTCCCAGCATGTAGCTCCCTCAAACCCAAGGAGCTCTGCTTCACAGAGACAGGGCTCTCCTTCCGCATTCGGGAAAACAGACCTCCTGGCACCTTCCACCAGTTTCGCCTGCTGCCTATGCAGTTCCTCTGCCCCAACATCAGCATGGCCTATAGGCTCCTGGGAGGTGAGTGCCGGCCTCATTATCCATTCTTCGGTGCCCACTGTGTGCCAGCACAGTGCTCCGAGCCCACAATATGAGCCATGCAGTTTATTCTTCACCACCACATCATTCATTTAATACTACCGAAGTACCTGTCATACACCTGCAGTAGGCCAGGCATGCTCTAAGGTCTAAGGATACGACAAAACCAGCAGAAATCCTGTTTGCCTGCAGCTTCCACTCCTGTGAACAATGGAAAGCACACATGTACTAGGAAATCAAGTGGCCTCTAAAAGGGGCCAGGTGGGAAGTAAAGTCAAGAAAATGTGGAGTGTGGAGACTGCTGTCTTCAATTGGGTGGCCAAAGAAGAAGGCACTGAAGCCAGGGTAGGAGGGTGCCAGGCAGCAGGGCTAGCCCCTTTGAGAGTGTTGATGTCAGACCCCATGAAGCTGGAATATTGTGAGTGACAAGGGAGAGTAGAATTGGATGAGGGCAGAGAAATTCCAGGGGAGTGGCAGAGCTTCCAAGTGAGAGACTAGGGAATCATAGAAGGGTTTTGAGAAGGACATTGACAGGACCTAACTTATCTTTAAAAGATTAGTCTGGCTGCTGTGAATGATTTGGGGTGGTGTGGGATGGTTTAGAGAGGGAAGCATGGAGAAAACTGGGAGTCTACGTGAGGAATTTCTGAGCAAGAGGATGAGTAGAGGCTCATCCAACCTCCTCTAAGTAGAGGAGGATGGAAGCCAAGGGGCAATGGGAAGTAGCCATGTTTGGGGCATGTTTTGAAGAAAGATCCAGCAGAATTTCTTGATGAGTTGAATGTGTGGTGTTGAGAGGAAGAGGAAACCAAACAAGGTTCCAGGATTCTACCCAAACAGCAACAAGGACTGCCAACTTGACAAGATGGCCCAGCCTTCAGATGACCACATGCTGGTCCTGGGTGGTATAGGGGAGGGGAGGGAGTTGGATCCTAGTGGAGATGAGCAAAGGCAACTGAGAAGTCATGTGAGGCACTATTTAAAGACAAGAACCTGGGACTCAAAGAGGACACAGAGGGCGCTGCTAGTATGTGGAACCTGGATTCATACCAAGTTTATTGCACACACATAGTAATAATGTTAAAAAATTCTCAAAATAAAAGTAGTCATGCACCCTTCCCCATCACATTTGGTTTGCCCTGTGGCAGGGACAGCTCTTTTTGTGCAAGATTATTGCAAAGCATATGGTTTATCATGCTGCTCATTTGGCTAAAATTTATATAACTAAATTATGTTGAGCATGTTTTCCTTTTGTAACTATCAACAGTAGAGGGAAATATTATTTGATAAGCATTTCTTTCCCACATGTATAATCCATATGTTAGTATATGTCTGTGATGTGAGAGTCTTGTGATTTCCTACCAAGTGGAGTTGACATAACCCTCCTGTGTTGACCTTTAAGCCTTTGGCTTTTCCCCTTTTTTGGGTTTTTCCTGGGGGATAAAATTCCAGCACAGGCTTGGATTAAAGAGTGTGTCATTGTTGCTAGTTCTCCCCACACTGAGTTGTGGGAAGATAGATGAGTTGATAAATGTAAAGTGCCTGGTGAGAAACAGGCACATTATTCTCATCCACTCACCTTCTGGTGAAGAAACAGGAACAAAGAGCTCAGCAACCAGCCTTAGTCCAGACAGCCAGGAGCTATAGAGAGGGAATGCAGAATCTGCCAGTCAGAAGTATTGTGTGTTAACATCAAATCATTCACCAAATGTCCTCTGTGTTTGTTTTCAAGTGGTGGGATTGACTTCCCAGATCCTCTAAAATGAGCACATATTGCTTCCATAATTTAAAAAACTAACATTTTTTCAAAAAGCAGCAAATGCTGGCAGATGGATCTCTAGGCCTGTAACCTGGCTGAGCTAGTGCCACTCCACAGCTGAGGCAAGGTGGGCAAGGGGTATAGCATCCTCATAAGTGGTGAGGATGAGTACCTGATACAGGCTTCCCAGTTCTCAGTCCCCACTCCCTTTGTCAGCATGAGAGAAGGCTGCAGCTACAGGAAAGCTCACTAGCATGTAGTCTTGCAGACTGTTCTTGGAGTACTGTGTCCCCTGCTTAGCCAAGCAGGGGGAGCCCCACAGAGCCCCTCCCATGCCACCATTCCTGCTGGGCCCTTGAATAAGACAGCTCAGCATGTCACCAGCCCGGAATTACACTGGCAGTTCCTGGTCTGCTTGGTGTGCAGGTGAGAATCTGCCCTTCCACTGCGCCTCAGACAGCCTAGAGGTGAGCATGCGCTGGGCCCTGGACCGCGAACACCAAGAGAAGTATGAGCTGGTGGCTGCCTGCACGGTACACTTGGGCACACGTGATGAGGACATAATGGTGCCCTTTCCCGTGACTGTGTATGATGAGGACGACTCACCGCCTACCTTCTTCAAGGGTGATGACACCGCTAGCGCCATAGTGGAGTTCAAGCGGAAGGAGGTGCCTGCCCCCACCCCATGTGCTTGTCCATTGTCTATTGTCTGTCTGTTCAGTGTCTGTCTCTGCCTCTACCATTTATTCCTTGGTCTATTTGGCTGTCTATCTAGCCATCCAGCCATGAGGATGACCATCCTTCTAGTTTTTCATTTGTTGGTTATGTTTCAGGGCTTTCTGCCTGCCTCCGGGGCAAGAGCCCCCAACTGGCCCCTGAGTGGGGAAGCCAGGGCCCTGGGAGCCCAGCTTTTGTCCCAGCAAGCAGACAAGGCTGAGGGCGCGCATCTGGGGATACATTGCACCCCCCAGGAGGGTAGAGGATAGCAGCAAGCCAGGAGGACATTTTCTTCCATCAGTACTCAACTTTCACAGTTGGGCTTTTGAGGTTCCTGGAGGGTAGCCCGGGAGTGGAAAAAGGCAGGACTGGAAAATCTGAGGGGTCAGCTCCCCAACCCAGCCTAGTCCCAACCCTCTCTGGTCACATACATGGAGTGAACTGCCACCTGCTGGGCCTTAGGCTGTCCTGCAGCAGGCCAGCTGGAGGTAGCAGTGGGAGAGTGGGTAGGTGGTATGCTGTCTTTGTTTGCCTCTCTGGGTACCTCTAGGATGGTGAGGGTGCCAGTGGGGAAAAAAAGCACATCTTATAAGGAAATGTCCCTGAGTCTGGCAGGGCTGCCTTGGGGTGACAGCAGGGAACCTGATTAGCAAAGAGAGCAGAGGTGCCCTGTGACTTTGCTTAGAACCTTCCTTATAACCATCTCCAGCCTAGTGTACAGATGCTTGAAGGAAAACATTCTGAAATACACCTGGGCATCTATCCTGACTCTGCTGTGTATCGCTGAGTGATACTGAGCTAACTCTCCACCCTGTGAGGCATGGCTGCCTCAGGGGAGAATGGAGTGCTTACTCTGCTCTGTGGGGACCTGGATGAGGCCTGTCAGTAGAATACCAGGCACCTGCTCTAATGCATCCTTATAGAAAATCTATATATGCCTATCATATTTGTTACACAGGGTAGGTGTGGCAGAGTGGCCCAAGTAGGATGACTGGGCCAGGCTAGCAAATGACCCTGTGGAGACTTGATCCCAAGTCAGTCTGTCCCTAGAGCCAACTGTGTGAATACCTGGTCCACCTGTAGGGTTCATGCCCTCTCTCAGTCTTACACTAAAAGAAATATGACTGGCACCTCCTGTTTTCTGCAGGGTACTGTGGTGGCCACACTGCATGTCTTTGATTCCGATGTGGTGCCATCATCTGGGGAGCTCCTGAGGCGGTACACAAGCACACTGCTCCCTGGAGATGCCTGGGCCCTCCAGACCTTTCGTGTGGAGCACTCACCAAATGAGACCTTGGTCCAGGTCAACGGCAGCCTCATTCGAGCAACTGTGCATGACTACAGTAAGAAGGGCTAAGCATGGCCTGGCTGGGCCCCCAGAAAACTGGCAGCCCCTGTTCCTGGGCAGAGAAGCACCTTGTACATACCACCTGGCCTGGCCCTCTGAGCCCCAGGCAGCTGCTCCTTCCACCCTCTGCCCAGCCCTTTGTCTCTGCTGGGCTTGCTTCAGCCACATTGGTGGGGTTTTACAAGCTGTCCTCTCTCCCTGAACTACCCCATGGCTGACCTATCACACATCCCCATGTTGACCACACCAGGGCTCACTGCATACACGTATGTCATTGCCTGAGTCCTTTCTTGGACCCTGGCATCTATTTTGCTGCACCTCAGGTGCCTAAGTACCTGGGGATTATTGCCCTATCCCTCTCCTGCCAGCACCTCTCTACTAACAACAGTTGGTGTACAGTAGCAGCTCCACACCCTTGAGCTGGAAGACCTTGAGACAATTGTCCTGTTTGGCTCCTAGAATGTACCTGCAGGGCTAGGCACCAGGTGCCAGCAGTGTTCTCCTACAGCACAGGGCATCTTTATTAACTGCTTGGCTTGCATGCCTCCCTTTCCAGCCTTTCTGCCCATGTTTTCTGTAATCACCTTCCAAATATCCCACTTATACTTGGATCCTTGTCTTGGGATCTGCTTCTGGGGGAACCCATGTCACTGGTGCCTTTACCCTTTTCTGCCTGGCCTGATTCTGTGTGTTTCACATCCTTCCCTCCACTACCAAATCTTTGAATTCAGGCCTCCTGCTTTGTGTGAGGGCAAGCATCATCCATACCCTGGCATGCTCATTCTGTACTCTGTACCTGAGCTCCCTACCTCCATCTTTCTGTCTCCATGAAGCTAAAACCACAGCATTGGCTCATGGCCAATGCACCAAGCTATACAAGATCCAAGACTGGGGTTGGGGTGGGCTGTGGAGTCCAGGCTGCTACTGTTGAGAGTTCTCTGAGGGAACTGGAGGGCCAGCACATTGTTCCCAGGGCCTTGATGGTGTTATATCTTTACCTTTTATGTGCCTACATATCACATACACACACACAGACACACACACACACCCCATACACACACACACCCCATACATACCACACACGCATACTCCTACACACACACACTTCTATACGTATACCTCACACATACATACCCTTACATACATATACACTCCATACATACCCCCACACAGATACATACATATACCTCATGCACATCACATATACATTCCCTCATGTATACACACTCATACATACCACAAACATACTCCACACACACACCCTCACACATACACATGCTCCATACATACCCCTCATACAGAAACACACATATACCCCATACACAACACACATACACATAACATACACATTACCTCCTAGCTGAGAAGGGCTCTTTGGACTTCCAGGTCAGTACAACAGCTAACATTTAAACAATGATTCTAACTTATTGCCAACTGCTAGATCTTTTATCTGTATACTGTGTGTGTGAAAGTACCTGTTTTCACCCATGTGCATGTGTGGGCAGGGCATGCATCTGGGAGTAGGCATGCAGTTGCATGGGGCAGTCATCACCATGCCCCTACCCGCAGGGCTTGTTCTCAACCGCAGCCTCCCCATCTCAGAGAGCCGCACCCTGCAGCTGGCTGTGCTGGTCAACGACTCAGACTTCCAGGGCCCAGGGAAGGGCACCCTCCTCCTCCATTTCAATGTGTCTGTGCTGCCAGTCAGCTTGCACTTGCCCAGTGCCTACTCTTTCACTCTGAACAGGCGGGCTCGCCACTTTGCCCAGGTGAGCTTTCAGCCCACTGCCATCCTGGGAGGGAGGTTGTGGGGTGGGGAGTCTAGCAGATTGTAAGCTAGGCTGGGGGTGGGTGACACCCTATCCCCGAGCTAATAAATGCACAGAGTGGCCTATAGAGAGGCATGGACACAGGTCCTCTCCCTCCTTGGTATCTTTAAGACATGTTTTGTATTAATGTAAGAGCAAAACCAGGTAAATATACATATACTAACTTGGAAAGATGTTCCAGGGAGATTAAATGAAAAAGTGGTTTGCAGAAATGTTGGTGTCACATGGCTCCATATGTTCAAAAACAAAACTTCATCAATGAGAATTTATGAACAATGGTGCCTTCTGCTGGGGAATGTGGGTAGGTGGGGAGCACTTCCTCTTTTCTACTGTAAGTATATTTATATTTGTCAGGAGAATAATGATTAGAAGTAAAAAAATAAGAGGAATCAGTATTTATCAAAGAAGATACATCAGTATTTGGCATTTTGGTGCAGTTCTTTCTAGAATGCAAGCACTGTTAAAGTTACTTTAGCCCTGGCTGGTGTAGCTCAGTGGATTGAGCGCGGGCTGTGAACCAAAGCATTGCAGGTTCAATTCCCAGTCAGGGCACATGCCTGGGTCACAGGCAATGGCCCCCAGCAACCGCACATTGATGTTTCTCTCTCTCTGTCTCCCTCCCTTCCCTCTCTAAAATAAATAAATAAAATCTTAAAAAAATAGTTACTTGAAATTATAGCAGGCATATGGTTTAACATGCTGCTTCCTCCTAACAGAGCAGCTGTGGATGTCATGTTTAGGGCCACATATTATTGTCTTAGTTGTAGTTTCTGTGGTTGGTTCCCCTGGCCCCTTCACTTCCAGCAACTACCTGGATCCAGCATAGGAAGAGGAAGGCATCCTCCTCCTCCCTAGTACATATCCAAACTCCCTGACTTGTCACCACCCTGGGCTTTTCTTGGAGGGAGATATCAAGGACGGTAGGATATGACAAGGCAGTCCCCTCTTTCCCTGGAAAGAGTCAAAGAGTTTTAGTCAAAGTCCCAGGAAGGCCCCTGGTCCTTTATGAGACAGGTAACCACTGTACATGATCATGTGGCCAGTTGCAGTGCTCTGACCAGGTTGGTGACCTGGCAGGGGTGGGCCATCCCAGCCACATGCTGTGAGAAAAGGAAATGGTGATCCCCAGGGCAAAACTGGCCTGGCCAGAAACAGAAAGTATGGTACATAGGAGAAAGTCAGTAGGCCTTTGTGTCTGAATGAGGGAATCAGTGAGGAATGAGCCACTGTGTCAGCCTTTCCTTAGAGGACCAGCCACTAAACCAGACCTCAGTTTCCTGCTCCTAGAAGCAGGGGTATATGGTGATATGATGGCCTTGGCAGGGCAGGGCAAAGCCAGGGAGATAGATGGGGCATGGAGAATGAGGAGTTCAGGGGGGTGGGGGTTTCCATTCTCAAGTGAGCAGGGGACTGTTCCAGGACTCACACTACCAAAAGTCCTTCCAGCCAATATCACAAAGCTGTTTAACTACCCAGCTGAGGCATCCCCTCTGCCTCACACCTAGGTTGGGAAAGTCTCTGTGGAACACTGCCAGGAGTTCACCGGCATCCATGTGCAGTATAAACTGCAGTTTTCTGGTGCCAACTGCAGCGCCCTGGCAGTGGTCACCTCGGTAGAGGACGCCACCGGGACCCTGTTTGTGAATGACACGGAGGCCTTGCAACGTCCTGAGTGTACCCAGCTCCAGTACACAGTGGTAGCTGCTGACCGGATAACCCGCAGGCAGGCCCAGGCCCCATTGCTTGTCACCATGGAGGGGACATGTGAGTTCTGTGGCCCTAGGGAGGGAGGGTGGGGATGGATGAGACATGATACTGCTATGGGCTTCCCTGACACAGAAGGGACCTGGTCCTGCTCCCTCTCATGAACTGGTGGCTTCTCTGAGCCTGAGTCTCCTTCTCTATAAAATAAAAATAACACTGCACCCCACATAGCAGAGTTGGAAGGATGACAGAGCGGGGAGTATGAATCAGCTCAACCCAAGGACTACATAGTAAACAGAGCTGATCCCTATCACCACCATCAAAGCATCTGCACATGTGCTTGCTTTGGGGCTGCCAGATAAAACACGTAGCATCCTGGTTAAACTTGAATTTCAGGTAAGGAAAAAAAAAGCAATGTTTTGGTGTACATCCCATGAGATCTCTGCAGTCTCTTAGAAGACAAATTTCTAGATATATCAATAAAATATTAGGGACATACTTACACAAAGCAGGTATTCACTGTTTATCTGAAATTCAGGATTAACTGGGCATCTCTGGTGTCCTTGGCCAGGCCTGGCCACCTCACATCCTTCCTCCACAGGATCCCAGCCCAATAGCTGTACCCCCTTTGTGACCACAGTGCCACCCCCCTCTCCCAGCAGCCCCATGACTTTCTTCACCTGGTGTTGAGTTACTACCTCCCATTTAAGTTCGACCCATTGGGGCAGCTCAGCAAGTGCTGCCTCTGTCCATAGGTGCTGGCTGGATAATGGGGTCAGGCTTGTTCCTGTGACCTGCTTTCTTCTATTCCTAGATATGGCTGAGGAGCCAGGCTGCCCCCTGTCCTGTGCAGTCAGCAAGAGGCGGTCTGAGTGTGAGGAGTGCGGTGGCCTGGGCTCTCTGACGGGCAGGTGTGAATGGAGACAGGGAGATGGTAAAGGTAGGCCCCATACATAGCCAGGGCCATGTGGCCAAGCAACCAAGAGGGGTGCTAATAGCCAAGTGAAAATGGGGTCTGTGCAGGTCCTTCTCAATCCTTGTCTATTCCCCAGAGCTTGATCCCACCATGGCTCCTGATGCTTGGAGGTGACCATGAGTCCAGGGTATGGGTGGCCCGAAGACATTCAGGCTGTCCATTGCCAACAGAACAAAGGTCCTCAGGGCTGGAATCCCTTTTGGCTTGGGCAGGTCTGGGCCAAAGTTGAGACATGCAGGAAACAGGGAGGCTCTACCTGGGAGGTCCCAGACCAGAGAACAGGAAGAACCTAAGCTGGCTTATGTGTGAAGAACAGCTAACTCCAAGCTGCAACTACCACTATGAGGGTCCCTCTCATGGTGCAACTTTGAGATTAGCTTAGTGTTGTTTGAACTCTTCTGGTCCCCTGGGTGTGAGGCAGGCACAGCACTGGGACAGCTGGACCCTCCATCCCTCATCACCCAGACTGCCCTGTGCATTCAGGACCCACAAGTACTTCTCAGGGGTGCCCCTGCTGGTAAGGCTGCATATGTGGTTTTCCTCTGCTCAGACCTTGGAGGGGCAGGGTTGGCCCTCAAGGCCTAGGGTACTGCCCTTCTGGCTCTGAAATTCTGTCCAGGGCTGTGCCACCTCAAGGCAGTGACCAGCCTACAGTACATTGTAGGAGCAGCACCCTCATGTAGCAGTGACCAGCCCACTGTGTGTTGCAGGTATATCCAGGAACTTCTCCACCTGCTCCCCCAGCATCAGGACCTGCCCTGACGGCCACTGTGATGCTGTAGAGATCAGAAACCACAACATCTGTCCCCAGGACTGCCTGCGTAAGCACCCTTTGGGGCCTACCTAGCCCATGTAAGCTGGGACAGGGCACAGGGAGGTTGCATGGCAATTAAGAGAGGCTTGAACTCCTCCTGCAATTCAGCCAAACCAACCATGTTCCTGGGTTTTACAGTCTGGCCTTTTCTTAACATTTTATTTAATGAAGAGCTGTCTCCCTCACAAAATATTGAAGCCTGGTGCCCTGACCCACACTTTATTGTCACCATGGCTACTCACGGGGGTGCAGTTCTTTGCCCCGAGTCTGCTGGTCACCCCTGCTGCCCCTTCTCTGTTTCTGAAAAGCAGCCATGTGTGGGCCTTAACAAAGGCACCAGGCAGTCTATGGGTTCCTCCTTCCATCCACTGTAACCAGGGAACTGGCTTGGGAATAGGTCATGCCAAGACTCCTGTCCAGATGATCTGGACTTCTGAGCTCATTACCAGTTCCTCCACCCCTCAACTTCCCACCCTGGGTGTGAGCAGTTGACATGAGGTGGGAGGGACCTCTCACACTCTTGTCTGGGTAGTGCTAGCTGGGTAGTGCTATTCAGGTCACCCAAGAGGCTAAGTTTGCTTCTTCTGTCACCAGGGGGCGGCAGCATCATTGGTGGGCATGAGCCAGGGGAACGCTGGGGGATTAAAGCTGGCTTTGGTAACTGCAACTGCTTCCCTGAGGAGAAGAAGTGCTTCTGTGAGCCAGAAGACAGCCAGGGTGAGTGGGGCAGGGCTGCCTGTACTTCTTGCAAGCCAGAGAGGAAAATGCAAGAAAGCCTTTGAAACCCAGGAGACTCTCATCCTTACCTCTGGGTCTCAGTTCCCCCATCTTTGCAGACAAAGAGCTGGATCAGGGCCTCCATATAGTACCTTATGACTCAAAGGTTCTATGATAAAGGTTTGGCTGGGAAATTAGTTCTTCCACCAAATAACTCAGTGTCTGCTCAGATTGTCTTTGTGCAGGGTCCTTGGCTTGGTCCCTAGCACTGTTCAACTGGGACCCCACTCTCCCAGCCAGAACCTCCAGGTGCTCCTTCTGGGACAACATGTGTGGTAGGCAGCAGGGGCCCCACTGAGCACATGGGAAGATTTCCTGCCTGAGCCCAGGGACACTTTTCTGGTATTTGGGTTGTTACTGCATGGCCTTAAGTCCTGAGCTACTTTCCTCCCCTGCCCCACTTTTTATAAAGAAAACACGAAAGATATTGGAAACATAGAGGAAGAATTTTATCTCTCCATGGCCCTCCAGGTTGAGCTGACCAGTACAGTGACTGGCAGCTGGTGCTGGTGCTGTGGGCACTACTTCTGCTGTGTGGCCTCGGCAGGCTGCTGACACTCTCTGTGTTGCTCTTTCCTCTGGAAGAAGGTGATAGTCTCCAGATAAGGGAAACTTCACTAACAGTACCTGCCATGCAGCCAGTGCTGTTAGAGTTTGTAGTTATTCTCATACTTTCATGCCAGCAGCACTTGCCAGGCCACTCATAGTTTGTCACAGCAGCTACTTCACAGCTGCTGTGGGCATGGCAGGCTAGAGAATGGTGCCATGCGGGCTCTTGTTGGGATATGGGGGAACCCTCCTGGACCATTGTCCCTTAAGGCCACCCCTGCCCACAGATCCACTGTGTGATGAACTCTGCCGTATGGTGATTGCAGTGGCTGTGCTCTTCTCCTTCATTATCTCTGTGCTACTCTCCACCTTCTGCATCCACCGCTACCACAAGAATGCCCACAAACCACCCATTGCCTCGGCTGAGATGACTTTCCGTCGGCCAGCCCAGGCTTTCCCAGTCAGCTACTCCTCATCCAGTGCCCGCCGTCCCTCACTGGACTCCATGGAGAACCAGGTCTCTGTGGATGCCTTCAAGATTCCGGTGAGGTTCCATATCTGGCTTCCAGAGGCCCTGCAGATGAAACTGGCCTCTGGGAGCTAGAGAGGAGAGGGGGGCAAGCAGCTAATGCATGGGCATTCTAGTAGCCACCCTGCCTTCATTGAAATGACATCCAGGGAAGGCAGAAGGCCATGGGGAAGAGAACATGGAATCAGGTAACAGAGTGGAGACTGATGGACTTTAATCCAGGTGGACTGAGATTTGGGTTCTGAGGACACAATGAGTTCTGACAGGGAGCTCCTGCAGATGTGCCAGGGGTTTGGGGGCCCCAAGGAAGAGTATGGATTTTTCTCAGAGTGGGACCCCTGGAGGTTTGGGGTTGCTCAAAGGAGGCCTATGGTCTGCCTTCATTTTCATAAGATTCTCCGCTGGGGAGTCTATAGGGTGGGTATAGAAGTGAGAGCCCAGTAATGAGGTACTCTTTTCATCCAGGTGAGAGATGGCAGTAGGCAGGAGCTTGGTCAAAGTGGAAGCAGAGAAGAGAGTCCATCTGTGGCATGGAGGGTGGGCCTCTGAGGGGTGAGCCACCTGTGGGGAACCAGGCCCCTTGACTCTGTGACTGGCTAGCTGACAGAGTGCCAGCCAGACCCAGAAGTTGTCCAGGTCCCCCTCTCAGTGGCTACCAGGATCTGTGGCCACCCAGTGTTCCTCAGAGCTCTCATCCCATCTAGGTCTCCCCTTGGCCTGCAGCACCCCTTCGTCAGTTTCACTGGGAACTGTTGGAGGATCTAGAAACCACATTTTTAAAAAATATATTTTATTGATTATGCTATTACAGTTGTCCCATTTTTTTCTCCCTTTATTCCCCCCTGCCCTGCAACCCCCCTCCCACCAGCAGTTCCCCCTACCCTTAGTTCATGTCCATAGATTGTATGTATAAGTTTTTTGGCTTCTCCATTTCCTATACTATTCTAAATATCCACTTGTCTATTTTGTACCTATCACTGATGCTTCTTATTCCCTATACCTTTTCCCCCTTCTCTCCCATCCCCCTCATTTCTGATAAACCTCCATGTGATCTCCATTTCTGTGATTCTGTTCCTATTCTAAATGTTTGCTCAGTTTTTTTTTGTTTTTATTTTTTAGGTTCAGTTGTTGATAGTTGTGAGTTTGTTGTCATTTTACTCTTCATATTTTTTATCTTCTTTTTCTTACATAAATTCCTTTAATATTTTATATAATAAGAGCTTGGTGATGATGAACTCCTTTAACTTGCCCTTATCTGGGAAGCACTTTATTTGTCCTTCCATTCTAAATGATAGCTTTGCTGAATAATCTAGGTCATAGGTCTTTGCCTATCACTTCAAATACTTCTTTCCAACCCCTTCTTGCCTGTAAATTTCTTTTGAGAAATCAGCCAATAGTCTTATGGGAACTCCTTTGTAGGTAACTCCTCTTCTCTTGCTGCTTTTAAGATTCTCTCCTTATCTTTAATCTTGGCTAATGTAATTATGATGTGTATTGGCCTGTGCTTCCTTGGGTCCAATTTCTTTGGGACTCTGAGCTTCCTGGACTTCCTCGAAGTCTATTTCCTTTGCCAGATTGGGGGAGTTCTCCTTCATTATTTTTTCAAATAAGTTGCCAATTTATTGCTCTTCCTCTTCTCCTTCTGGCACCCCTATGATTTGGATGTTGGAATATTTAAAGTTATCTTGGAGGTTCCTCAGCTTCTCTTCATTTTTTTTTTTGAATTCTTGTTTCTTCATTCTGTTCTGGTTGAATGTTTATTTCTTCCTTCTGGTCCAAATCATTGATTTCAGTCTGGTTTCCTTCCCATCACTGTTGGCTCCTTATACATTTCCCTCTATTTCACTTTTCATAACCTTTACTTCTTCCTCTATTTTGTGACCATACTCAACCATTTCTGTAAGCATCCTGATTAGCAGTGTTTTGAACTCTGCATCTGATAGGTTGGCTATCTCTTCATTGCTTAGTTCTATTTTTGGAGTTTTGATCTGTTCTTTGATTTTGGCCATATTTTTTTTTGTCTTGGTGTGCCTATTGCAAAAGTTGTAAGGAGTGAAGTCTTAGGTATTCACCAGGGCAGGGTAACCCTATGTTTTGGTGCTGTATGTGGAGGAGGAATCAGAGAGGGAACAGTGCCACTTGCTGGGCTCTCAGCTGGCTTTCAGTCACTTCCCCCACTACCCACAAACAAATTGGGCCCTTTTGGTGCTGATTCCAGGGTGGGTAGGTTTGTGTACATTCTAGGACCCTGTGGGTCTCTCCAATGAACTCTTCTGTGAGGCTGGTCATTTCTCCCACCACCATAACCCCAAAAGGTTTTTCCAGTCATAGGTTATAAGGCTGTTTCTCCATGCTGGAATCCTGAGTCAGTGGTCTGTCTTGCTCCCCAGTTGTTTCTCCCAGTTTATTGGCACGCAAATGTGGGACTGCCTGGTCTGCCAGCCACCGCTTTGCTGGCCCCAGTCTGCCAACTGCCACCAGCTGTTGCCTTGCCCGCCTGCCCGGTCCTCCAGTTGCCACCTTGCTGTGCATCCTCTTTCCTGGCTGTCCATCTTTGCCCCTCCTACCCGCCTGGAGAAATATTTCTTCTTTAACTCCTTGGTTGTCGGACTTCCATGGAGTTTTATTTTCTGGCAGTTCTAGTTATTTTTTGTTTTCAAATTAGTTGTCGTCCTTTTTTTGGTTGTGTGAGGAGGCAAATGTATTTAACTATGCCTCCAGTTTGGCCAGAAGTAGAAACCACATTTTGGGAGAGACTTAGGAAAATGCTCTCAGAGTGGAGGGTACATGGAAACAAGTCCCACCACATGGCTGGGAAGGGAGAGTTCTGTGTGTGTACCTCCAGGTAGCTCCAGGCAGGAAGTTCAGTATCCAGTGGCTACATGGCCCTGGCAGTCTCCAGCCAGGGATGGAAGGTAGCTGGGGTTTGTAGGAGGAGCCTTTCCCCTTAGTGATGGTTTAGGCCATCAAGGCATTTTGCAGGTGCAGTGGCCACTGCAGTCTCCCTTCCAGCTTTTCTAGTTTGAACCACTCAGCAGATGGAAGGCCTGCAACCTGAGCCAGCAGTATCTCAGTTTCCACTGTAGGCCTCTGGAATGAGCCATGTGATTCTTTTATATATCCTGGTAGTCACGTCCTGCCCAGAATACAGAGCAACCAAAACACAGACTGAGACCCAAGGGCCACACTGATCAGCTCTAAGGCCTCAAACATGTTACTTAACCACTCAGCCTTAGTTTACTCATATATAAAGTAGGGAGAATAATATTTAATATTTTTAAGAGAATCAAATTGGTGATAGCCACATATGCTCAGCATGGTCTCTGTGTAGTAAATGAAGTTATCCAGTCCAGTGTGGAGGTGAGGATACCAAGGCAGTGATGACACTGTTGTCAACTCTGATCCTGACTTTGATTTCCTAGGGAACCTGAGACAACACCAGAATACCCAGTAGATGGTAGGTGCTCCAGGCCAGAGGAAGTTTCTGTACCCAAACATCAAACAGCATAGTTTTGGCCATTCAGGGGCAAACAAATTCCCATTGGTGTCATCTCTATGGGTTTGGCAAGACTGGTAGTGCACATTGTGAGCAGGTCCCAGAAGCCATAGCCATGCCCAGCTGCAGGGAGACTTGGAGAGATGGATGCCCAGTTCTGGAATAGGAGGGGAGAGTCCAGACAGGCTTCAGCATCCCAGTCAGAATTCAAGTATACAGGGCAAGCTGAGTGCCTGAGAAGGCATCCTAGAGTGGTCTTGAGTGTGTGGACAAGACTTCAGTAGGAATACAAGGTGTGTGACAGGGAGCATGATAAGCAGGTATGTGCAGGTTCAAGATGATGGCCAATTCCATAGGAGGAGCAGCCTCTTCCACACAACTCTGTGGAGGTTCCTCAGGAGCATAGTAGTACCTGTCCAGAGGCTGCCACACAGGGAAGTTGCCCTAGACACTTCCACTTGTAGGTGCAGATTCTGTGCTGGGAAGCAACTTGGGCCACTGGTGCCAATTCAGTCTTCTGGGCATCTCTGGAGAGGACATACCTGGGCTGGGGATATAGCCCAGTGAGTGCCTTGTGGGCCTGGTGTCTAAAGCAGACCCAATGCCAGAAGAATTGGTCCTGACTCCTACAGAAGAAACTATGCTCCCACATGAGTACCTTTATTGCTTAGTAAGTCCTGAATACCTTATTTGAGAGACAAGGACATGAGCCCAGGGTAGCCCAGGGTATGTTCAGTAAAACAAGGTACAGGCATCCAGAGTCCATACCAGTCCATGGCAACACCTGCCTTGCCCTGGTGGAGACCTGTCATGGAATGACTGACACCTTAGGGCCCAGCTGTGGGATCCTGCCTTTATCAACATGAATGATTGTTACCTACTGGTTCAAATTATGGTCAGTTCTCTGCAGAGTGGAGCTTGTTCATGGGTCTTGCCTTACTCCTTTTCTCTTATCCTCACCATCTTCCTCTCTGCATCTCTTCTCTTCCTTCCTTCAACCCCAATATAGGAGGATCCAAAGTGGGAATTCCCTAGAAAGAACCTGGTTCTTGGGAAAACTCTGGGAGAAGGAGAATTTGGAAAAGTGGTGGAAGCAACAGCCTTCCAGCTGAAAGGCAAAGCAGGATACATGACTGTGGCTGTGAAGATGCTTAAAGGTACCTGTCCAGACAGCACACACAGGTAGTTCTGCCATGCACACCTGTGGGAGCCCCAAGGAGTAGATGAAGCCAATATGCTGGCAGCTGTCCTGGCACCTGCTCAAGAGCCTCCCATGGTTGTCTTGAGTGGTTGAAGTCTGGGGGCCTCACCTATCATAGGTGACATGGGTTAGGGTGGTTCCTGAAGGAGGGTGAGGACGTTCCTCCCTTAAGACATTCTGGAGCAGTATTGCTTAGATACCAATGTTGGGTAAAGATCTGAGTTTTTAAAACTCTAAGAGCCCTTTTGGTTTTGAATTGATAGTTCTTCCCACCTCACTCTGCCCAATTCATTTCTCTCAGTGATCTGGCTGCTGGGGTCCTGGTGAGAAGACCACCTGAGAGGACTGGCCCTACCTCCAGAGTCCCTGGAAGATTGGCCCTCCCCAGTCTTGCCATGAGTGACCAGTTGTGCCACAAGCTTGGCTCTGAGTGGTCACACAAACACACATTCATGTTTTTCCACAGAGACTAGGCAGATGGCCCTCTGCTGTGGCAGGGCTCTGACCCAAGTGGACTGACCCAAGGTCCCAGCAGCAGTGCAATGGGCGGATTGGGTTGGTTTATGCACACACAGATTCTAGTGCAGCAGTCATGGGGCCACTTATTACAGTGCTTCTGGATGCTTCCTCAGGCCTTCAGACTGGGGTCACCCCTCATCCAAGAGAACCCACACCTTAAGAGGGCACAGTGATCTTCCATGTGTGATACAGGGGGTCCTGATTCCTGATGCACCAGGGGCCTCCCATGTGTGATACAGGGGGTCCTGATTCCTGATGTGCCATCTCCTCTAGAAGCTGTCCTCTCACTTCCAGAGAATTTTGCAGCCAGAGGTAGGGCATGGCACAGATGGGCAGTGAGCCATGGGACTCTGGGCCAGGAGGACTGTTTAGCCACAGCTTCTCACACAAAAACCTCCACACCAGGCTCCTGGTGAGAGACCAAACCCAGCTCCACCCACTCTCAGGATGCACATCCTCCTCATGGTGAGAGGACTTCTGTGAAATCTCGTGATCTTTACCTTCCTCCAGAGCCTTGCCTCCAACTGTTGAGTCCTTGGTCATTGGGTGTTTGGGGGCAACAGGGAGTCACCTTACCTTTCCAGAAAGATCAATGAGAGGAGTCTCTGTACATCTGTCTTTGAAAGATGGCAATTGCGAAGAAATTACTCCACTTACACATAGCCCAACCCTGGGAGGCTGTCCATGGAGAGATCCTATTTACATGGACTTTGGGTCCTCAGGTTCTTATTCCCCAGAGGTGGAAGAAGCCAATCATCCTGTGGGATGAGAGTAACCCCAAGCTGTGGGATCCTGGGGTAAGGTGTTTCAGAAGGAGATAATGGGTCCTTGCAGAGCCCCAGTGTGGATTAATGTGGCCCTGCATGGTCACAGAAGGGGTCTTCAAGGGGATGGATTTGCAACCTTCTTTGTTTACATGTGTTCCAGAGAATGCCTCCCCAAATGAGCTGCGGGACCTACTGTCAGAATTCAACCTCTTGAAGCAGGTCAACCACCCCAATGTCATCAAACTGTATGGAGCCTGCAGCCAAGATGGTAAGGCCAGCCACAGGATAGCAGCTGCGTGCCACAGGCCAGGAACTCTGGGCTGCCACACTCTTCTTCCTCCCCCTCTGCATCCTCTTCTTCTCTGACCTTTATTCTCTGTCTTCCTGGAAGCATGATCTCTGGCTCTGGCTCCTGACTAGAGCCTCCTATGTCAGTGAGAAGGCTAGAAGGGACTGCTGCAGGAGTGCCTGCATGAGGTCACTGCTCTGGGAGCTGTAGGCCTGCTGGGGCTGCCCAAAGGTCTCTGGTAACATTCTGGTTGTTACTACCCTGCTCCAGGCAGAGCCCCAGCCAAAGAACTCCAAAAATGGATAGTGCTTTCTAGGGACCTATGGGGGACTAGCCATGCCATGATCTCTAGGTGACTCCAGCCCTGCATGACAAAGGCATTGGCACTGTTTCTCACATAAGGACACAGGAGACCAGCCATCAGGGGACTCACTGTTTATGCACACGTGTGTGTTGGGGGTGTGAGGGAACAGGAAGCCAATAGGGAGAGGACAGCAGGGACGCTGGCCCTAGGGTTGGGTGTAAGATGGGAACAGAAAGCAGGTGGGCCATGTGCAATCCAAACTCTGCCTCCATCAATCATTCCCAGGCCATGCTATGGCAGGACCAAGGATACAGAAAGGCTTGACATCCTAGCAGCAGGGGTGTACATCCCCAGGAAACACTGAGTGCGGTAGCCTTATGCCTTAGGCACTCTTGAATAAGGTCATGCTTAACCACCCAGGCAGTGGCTTCAGCACTACTGGCCTCACAGGGTAGAGAGCAAATGATGTTAGAATGACCTGGGACTCACCATATTTTGACATGATGATGCACTGCTGTGTATAATGCATACACACATTTTTGGCCCAGACTTTCAGGGAAGAAACCTTTCATTTTAATTTTTTAATTTAATGTTTTATTTATTTATATTTAGATACTTGTTTTTGTATTATAAAAGAATTTTAGCATTTATTTTTTAACATTATGATACAAGAAATTTTATGTAACAAATAATTACAAAACACAAGAACAGATAAAAGGCATTTCAGGTACTACCCATGTATAATGCACATCTTTATTTTTCCCTCAAAAATTTGGGCAAAACAGTGTGTATTATACACAGGAAAATATGGTAAGTCATGGAGCTGCCCAGAACCCAGACATTTTCCACTCAGAACAGGGCTGTGTCCATCTGCCTACTACTGGTAGCGTGCAGAGCTGTTCTGAGAAGGCCTGCATCCCCTACTTCCTGTGCTGTGGGAGGTGCCAGAGTTGGCTTGACCTCTACCTGCTCAAGGCTTGGCAGGCAGCCAGGCCACAGTCCCTTCTGCCCCCAGGTCCACTTCTTCTCATCGTGGAGTATGCTAAGTATGGTTCCCTTCGGGGCTTCCTGCGAGAGAGCCGCAAAGCAGGTCCTGGCTATGTTGGCAGCAGAGGCAGCCGCAACTCCAGCTACCTGGACAACCCAGATGAGCGGGCCCTGACCATGGGTGACCTCATCTCCTTCGCTTGGCAGATCTCACGGGGGATGCGGTACCTGGCCGAGATGAAGGTGTGTGCTGCCCCAGCCCTCACCTCTACTGCCTATTATGGGCCTGGGTTTTAGAGGTCCCTGTTATTATTGTCCTTGCAGCTTGTTCATCGGGACTTAGCAGCCAGAAATGTCTTAGTAGCTGAAGGGCGGAAGATGAAGATTTCGGATTTTGGCCTGTCACGGGATGTGTATGAAGAGGACTCCTATGTGAAAAGGAGCAAGGTACCAGGGTCCAGTTCTAGGATGTGCTGGCCTGAAGTCCTCAGCTGGGTGGGGATAGCAGTCAGAGTGCCTACAGGATGGAGGCAGAGCCCTTAGAATACCTGGAGAAGATCAAGCGGATTTTTAGAGTACAAACTTCTAGCCCTTATTCCTAAACCCGTCCCTGATTTTGGGTCTCCAAAGACCCAGTTTAGGACTGATCCCTGAGTCTGTTCCTTCTCTTCCTGAGGACCACATCTGACCTTCCTGAGCTGGGCCCTGAAGCTTCTGTTGCTTTTAATCACTATCATCTTTGAAGGTCACCTAATGCTTCAGAAATAGCCATCCTCTTCTCCACAGTGTCCTTTTCCCTTCTACAGAATGAAGGTCACTGTTTCCTTTTTGTGTAATTTAGCTGTTTTCCTAGAGGAGAGTGAAGGGATGCTCTTTGCAGGAAAGAATGAAGCATATTACAGGTAGAGGTTCCCCTGAGACAGGGGCCTGGGAATCCCTGGCTGGGCAAGTTTGGAAGGTATAAGGAGGACCCTAGAGATGGGATCCAGCGACTCATTGTAGCATCCTCAAAAAGCTTTCTCCAAATCTCTGAAGTAGGTGGTTGGGCCTCTCTGGGGGAATCTGGTCCATGTCATTGGCCAGTTTCCTTTAGCATTTGTCTTGGTCCTCTCAGTTCTGTTGCCCACTTAGCCCCTCTCCTGCAGCCTCCCTATGACAGGCAAGACAGGGCCTACTCACAAGCCATTCAAGTCACAACTGACTTGACATTCAGAATAGATGCTGCTCAAGAAAAAAAAAACACCAAAAGTAACTGCATACACTTTAGCTTCACTCTGAGAGTGGGGTGAAGCCCTTATGTTGCCATGGGCTGTAAGGACAATGTTTCATTTTTTCTGGGGTTTCTGTTGTGATAGCATATCTCAATGCTGCCAAAGGGGAAGTGGAGAAGGGCTACTCCCCACCCTGTGAAGGGATGTGGACAAAGCCTTCCTGTTGTTGCATTGATCCTCCAAGAAGGCTCTGTGTCACAGAAAAGAGAAACACAAGGAGTCTAAACACAGGGCCCTGGAGAGAACAGGCTGCAGGCAGCATTGTTACAAACATGTGCCCCAGAAACAGCCACACTTTATTAAGGACAGGAATCAGTGCATTAAAGAAAATGCTTTAAAGAATTTTAAAGAATGCTTTAAAGAAAAAGAAATTACAATAAATGCTGCATTAAAATCCAGTACACTAATTTTTTTGATTTTTGCCTGAAGACTTACCTACTGAAAAGCTATTTATCAACTTGCATTGGGGACACTTCTGGTCAGGATGGCAAAATAAGTAAATTATGCTTGCCTCCTCCTTCAACCACATCAAGATTACAACTAAATTATAGAACAATCACCCTTCAGAACCACCTGAAGAGACTATAACCAAGAATATAAAGAAGTAGCCACATTTGAAACTGGTAGGAGGGGCAGAGTTGCAAAATGGGCTTGTGTCATACCTGTGTGTGGCAATTAAGAATCAGGAGGGCCATCTCAGCTATGGAGGTCCCCACTGAGGAGTAAGGGCTCTCATCCCCACACCAGGTTTTCCAGCTCAGATCACCAATGCCAGGAAGAGGAATTGCCACAACAGATGACTGTGAAAATCAGTGGGGATTTCTTCTAGGTGAGACAGAGGGGCTGGTGTAGACCCAGGAGTCCTTGTAAAGGACCTAAGCACAGATTCACTCACTCATAAACACTCACCATAAGCTCCAGAAAAAGATAACAGCTCAAAAACTGCCAGTGATAAACAGGGAGGAACTGAATTGTCTGGTTTCAGAGCAAGGGTAGGAGGGGCAGTTCTCTCCAGGAGCAAAGTGCCTGTAGGCATCATTGTTGCTTTATGGAGCCATCCATCAACCCAGCCTACAAGTACAGGCTGGCACAAAGTCTGAGTCTCCATTAACCAGTCTGCTATGGTTTCCATCCCACCCTGATGATTCTCTTATAGCGTGCCTGACCTGAATCTCTTTCAGAGGCTAATCCACACAAATTGCCAACCTGTGTTTGCACTGCAGAATTTTCTAAAATCTCTCAAAGGTCCACAAACCCAAATAAGAATTCCCTGGCCTCAGTGTGCCCCAGACCTCTTACTATGTGACCCCAAACCTGGTAGTAGTGGTAATTGGCCTTGGTTCCAAGAATAACCACTCTGAGATGCCTCCAAGCCCAGAATAGACAGCTACCAACCAAAAGCCACTTTGTAGCTCCTACCAGGTTCAGCTGACCTTGGCCTGCACTGAAGCCTCTCCAAGAGGCCCTCAAACTGACGGGCCTCTGGTGGCTGGCTTCATACCACACCAGAACACCACCAATTAGCACTACAAACATCATACCCAAAAGGTGAACTCAGCATGTGCCTGAGCCTCACTATGGCAAATCTCACTCCTGGGGTAAGTCCCTGCACAGTAGCTTGTCTGCTGTAGTCATGGCCGGTCCTCACAGCTCATCAGCATGAGGGTCATTCCTACCCACTTATATGCCAATGGCAATCAAGGCTCAACTACAACAGGAGAGCACAAAAACCCACACAAGGGACACCCCAAGAGCATCTAACTCAGGTAAACAGGGAGACTATGCCACAGGGTCCCACAGGACACCTACTACATAAGTCTACTCTGCCAAGACTGGGAGACATAGATCTGCCTAATACATAGAAACAAACACAGGGAGGCTGTCAAAATGAGACAGACATGCCCCAAGTGAAAGAATGGTGCAAAACTCCAGAATGAAAACTAAACAAATTGGAAGCAAATAATCTACCAGATACAGAATTCAAAACAAGGGTTATAAGGATGCTCAATTGAACTTAGGGGAAGAATAGATTATCTCAGTGAGAACTTCAACAAAGAGAAAAGAAACATAAAAGAAGAGATAGAAACAATTAAAAATAGAAATGAAGAATACCATCACTGAAATGAATACATTAGATGGAGTCAACACCAAATTAGATTAAGCAAAGGGTTGGATCAGCGATTTGGAAAACAAGGGAGCAGAAAGCACCCAATCAGAACAGCAGAGAGAGAGAGAGAGAATCTCAAAATAAGGCTACTTTAAGGGATGGAACCTCTGGGACAACATCAAGCATAACAACATACATATCATAGTGCTACCAGAAAATGGAGAGGGCTAGTAAGCAAGGAATTGAGAGCCTATTTGAAAAAATAATGACTGAAAACTTCCCTAACCTGTTGAAGGAAAAAGACACAGAATTCCAGGAAGCACAGAGAGTCCCAAGTAAGATGAAGCCAAAGAGGGCCACACAAAGACACATTTTAATTAAAATACAAAAGGTTAAAAGACATAGAGAGAATCTTTTTTAAAAAAGCAAAATGAATGCAGTTATTTACCTGCAAGGGAACTCCCATAAGACTGTCGGCTGCATTCTCAACAGAAACTTTACAGGCCAGAAGGGATTGATATGAAATATTCAAAGTGATGAAAAGCAAAATCTACAACCAAGATTTTTCTACCCATCCAGGCTACCATTTAAAATCAAAAGAGATAAAGATCCTCCCAGACAAGAAAAAGCTGAAGGAGTTTGTCACCACCAAACCATTATTACAGGGAATGTTATAGGGACTTTTTGAAGAAGGAGGAGGAGAGGAGGAAGAAAAGAAGAAAATAAAAAATACAAATAAAAAAACTCACTGACAAAGGCAAATATATAATAAAAGTGGATCAACCAACACTAAAGCTATGACAAATGCTAAAAAAGCAAAAGTAGCAAGATCATGTGTAATTACAATAAATTAAAGGATGCACACAAACACACAAAAGAAGTAAAAAATGACAAAAACATAAATATGGAAGGGGTGAGTAATAATGGTAGTGATTAAAGAATGTGTTCAAATTTAAGTGACCATCAACTGAAAATAGACTGCTATAAACATAGCTTGGAACATACGAAGTACATAGTAACCACAAACCAAAAATTCAAGAGATGCAAGAAAGAGAAAGGAATCCAAACACAAAACTATAGAAAATTATTAACATACAAAAGAAGCGAGCAAGAGAACAAGAAAGGAATAGAGAAGTACTAAAAAACAATCAGAAAATAATAAAATGGCAATAACTACATACCTGACAATAATTGGTTTAGGTGCAAATGGATTAAATGCTCCAATCAAAAAATGAATGGATAAAGAAGAGGTGATACACATACATGCAATGGAATATTATTTGGTCATAAAAAGAATGAAGTCTTAACACTTGTAACAACATGGATGGACCTAGAGAGTATTGAAGTAAGTGAAATAGCTTGAACAGAAAGACAAATGCTATATTATTTCACTTACATGTAGAATCCAAAAATTAAAAAATAAATAAACAAACAAACAAGACAGAAGCAAACTCATAACAAGGTGATGGTTGCCAGATGGGAGGATGGTTGAGGAACTAGGTGGAGAGGTGAAGGGATTAAGAAATACAAATTGGCAACTACAGAATAGTTTCTGGGATGTAAATTACATACAGCACAGGAAATATAGTCAATAATATTGTAATAACTATGTATGGTGTCAGATGGGTACTAGACTTATCAAGAGGATCATTTTGTAAGGTATATAAATGTCTAACCACTATGCTGCCCACCTGGAACTAATAAAATATTGAATGCCAACTTTAACTGAATATAAAAATTTTAAAAGTTGTATTGGAAATGATTCATTAAGTCTTACCCTAGTCCTGCTGCAGTGGGGGGCACTGTTCTAAAGGATGCTACAAGGGTCCTGGCATAAAAGGGAAAAACCAGCCTCAAGGAACATAAACAGATCTCTTCCCTCAGAGCTTCTCACAAGAGCCTGTTGTGTGTTAGTTTGCATTAGAAGTCTCCCAAAGTCATTCACCCTCAGATATCAGGGTAGATCTTGCTGGATGGTGTCCTTGGCCCATCAGTTGGGCAGCAGCACCCAGGATGCCTCAGAGCTCCCAGATGTGGCCTAGGGGACCTTCCTTGGGCTTGGTATCAACTCCTTGAGTTTCTTCTCAGCAGGAATGGGATATGTGACAAGCAAGCCCTGTATATCCGTGGGCAGACTACCTCTGTCATCTCAAACATGCCTGGAAAAGCTAGACTAAATCTCTGGCCCTTCTGAAGCTGTGCTACCAGTTGTGTACCCAGGAATATTCTGGGTGTCATTACTCAGTACCCCACAGAGCTGGAAGCGCCCGAAACAGGGCAACTCCTCTCCTCCAGTTCAAAAGGTGTCTGAGCAACATTAATGCCCTTCTTTCATTCCCTTTTTAGGGTCGGATTCCAGTCAAATGGATGGCAATTGAGTCCCTTTTTGATCATATCTACACCACCCAAAGTGATGTGTAAGTGTGGGTGTTGCCTTCCTGGGGTGGAGGTTACATGTGAAAGGGACTATGATACTTGTCTGGGCAGCTCAGCTAAGGAAAAGCACAGGCCCTGAGCGCCTCTCAGCTCATGCCACCCTTCTGCAGTAACCCCCAACAAGAGAGGGAGTTTCATGTCTTCATTGAGCAGATACGAGGGCCCAGGCAGTAGTTCTGAAAGCCGTGAGATTCATGAGAGCAGTGAGCAGTGACTGCAAATACCCTTCTCTTCTTCCTCCTCTTCTTTTCCCCCTTCCTCTCCCCTCCCTTCAGTGGGAGGCTTAGTGACACCCAGGTCCAATTAAACAGTTCCCATCCTGTGGGCCTGAGCAGGACTGGGCTCAGGCAGGGGTCCTGGGATTGGTCCCTGCTACAGGTGGAAATGGCTTTGAGTAAGTTCGAGGCTGCTGTGCCCCAAACTGCTCAAAGACAGGAACCAAAATTCAGTCTTCCAGGTCAAATTACAGACTTGATAATTTTCAAAAACATAATAGATTTGTTTCTTCTAAGTGTTCTGACATCAACAGACATGCATATCTTGAATAAAGTGGGCTGTGACAGGCAGCTCTTATAGTATGAAACTGTTTTCTGATTATGGAAGTTGACTATAAGGCAATCAGAAAATTTAGAGTAAAGCATGATGAAGAGACTGAGTCACTCAGATCTCTGAGTAACTGCTGCAGGCCTTTGTAAGCACAGCCTTCTCATGTTTTCTGTGGTGTGCAGTTATTTTCTCTTTATCACTGTAAGTGGGCTCATGTGATAATGCTATTTGGTGATATGATTTTGTTCCCACTTTACAATTAAATTTCCCTCACAGCTAAGTATTTTTCCAATAGCCGTGAATTTTTTTTTTCTTCTAAGACTTTCTGAAAATTTTCAAGCACAAAAAGGTGAAAGAAACATACCCGACACCTGGACACTTGACCTGGGTCCAGCCTGCATATTGCTGCACTTGCTGGTCTGGTCTGGGCCATACCCGCTGCTTCAGGGAACCATTGCCCAGTGCCCTTGTGGATATGGGGACCAAGCTGGGAAGCATCACAGCTGCAGGGGCAGGGCAGACAGATGGCTATTCCCACCTCCATCCTGCATCAATTGGTGCAGTGGGATCCAGGCTGAGACCAGCTCTCTGCAGGTGGCAGCAGGAGACTCAGCCAATGAGTTAGCAGCTGCTGGGAGGATGGATGTCTGAGCTTCTCAGAAGGCACTGCAGGCCTGGTGTAGCCACTCACTGGCTGTCTTATTCTTTGTAGGTGGTCCTTTGGTGTCCTGCTATGGGAGATTGTGACCCTGGGGGGCAACCCCTACCCTGGGATTCCTCCTGAGCGGCTCTTCAACCTTCTGAAGACAGGCTACCGGATGGAGAGGCCTGACAACTGTAGTGAGGAGATGTGAGCAGGCTCTGTGTGGGCCCAGCCTCCCTGATACAGACAACCGGGGTCTGAGAAGGGAGGGGCTTATGCACGCATTCCCTCCCCACTCCTGATCAGCCCTTGGTGCCAGTCTGTGGTGAGCTGGGTGGTGGGTAGTGGCAGGGCAGACATCACAGAACCATCCTTGGACATGGTGGCAGATGCTGGGGATTCAACTCCACTGGGGGCTGGGCAGGCTTCCTGGGGGACCTATAAGGTTAAAGGGGAGTAGGGCTCAGGGAGGGGTGTGGGAAGAATGAGATGAACTTCACCCTAAGAGAGCAGCTGAGCCCAAGGCCACAGACCTGTCCTTTCAGGTCATTTGGGGAGGGGCAGGTAATTCAGACTGGCCCATGGGGCACTTACTGGGGTGTGCCCGAGTGGAGGTGCAAAGGCAGGCAAAGGGTAAGCAGGAGGAGCCCAGACTTCAGCCCAAGGTCATAAGTTTCACACACACAGGTTCTCTCAGATGATTCTTGGAGGACAGGTTGAGGACACATAAGAAAGTGGTTGTTTGCATGCAGAGACATGCTGGTCCATATATTCTACAAAGTCGATGTGCTTCTGCCATGTGCCTAACTCAGGGTTAAAAGGTGAGTGGCACTACCACCCTGGCAGCCTCGACTGGCAGCCAGCCGCCCAGAGCTCCATGTATGGCAGCACAGGAGGCCTTGCATCCAGGCTGGGGCCCCATGGAAATGAGAAAGTGATAAAAGTATAAGACAGAGGTGTGACTGGCAGAAGTTTTCATTTGTTTCCACATCTAGTTCATCCTTCACAAGAGTTTTAAGGACTGGCATTTCCCACTCAGCCACCATAGTGAGCACAACATCTTGTTAGCTATGTACCTACCAGTGTACCTGAGAGGAACATGAAAACAAATCTATCTCAAGGAAAGGGAAGTTTATGGTACACACGACCCTGAGCCCCCCATGACCCCTCAGACCTGGGCCCAGCTTGGAGAAGGATGCAATGATGCAGAAACTGATTTTGGGTTTGGGAACAGAGACCCCCAGGCCCCAGCCACTGCTGGATGTGGTGACTGTGACAGTGTGGTCCTTGCTGGGTTGCAGCCACCTATCTACACTCCCCACCAGGTACAGTCTGATGCTGCAATGCTGGAAGCAGGAGCCGGACAAGAGGCCAGTGTTTGCTGACATCAGCAAAGACCTGGAGAAGATGATGGTTAAGAGAAGAGTGAGTACCTAGAGCAGATTGCCAGTGTAGGCCACCTACAAGCTGGCCATGGCAGTGGGGTGTATGTGGTGAGTGGGAAATGGGAAGGGTGGTTTCCAGCCTCAACACAGGTCCATGGAGGTCCCTGTGGAGGCACAGAGCAAGGCTATATAGGAGAAAATAGTCATACTGACTTCTGAGGGCACCAGGCTTCTTGGGCTTCTTTTCAAATCATGAGGACAGCAAGATTCTCAGTTTGGTACTTAGGAAGAGCTCTCAAAAGACAGGTGTAGAAGGAAAATATTCCAAAGCCAAACAAAATCACAAAAAAGAGTAGATATGAGTGTTCTAACTTCAGATGTCCTGAGAACCCCATCTAGGGTGGGAAGTGACTACAGAGTAGGACACCAGCCCCCTCTAAAGGACTTCTTGCTGTAGCTGCATGTGACCTATAGGAAAATGAATTAAGCATGCCAGGTCTTCTGAGTTTTAAGGGATACTTACGTCAAGTTTCCCAGTGTTTAATGTTAGCAACTCATTTAAATGTTCAAAATCCCAATGTGTGCCTCCAGTTTACAACTCTGTAGGAAAATGAGAAAGTCAACAAAGTTTCAACTAATATTTATTGAACAATTGCTGTGCACCATATTCTGTCTTAGACCATGGAAGTTCAAGTAAACACACAAAGACCCTGCCCTTGCATTGTATACATAGACTATTCATCCTCACATGTACACATTTATCGACATTTGTAATTTCTTCAAACATGAAAAGCAAGATGCATGGTCTAGACCATTTGCAATAAAACCTAACATCAGTGTATCACTTGGGCAAAGCCTCCAAATCCTGTGAATGAAGGGTCACCCTAAACAAGTGATAGCTGATGCTAAGAGACAACCTTTCCTAGAGCATTGCTAAGAGGCAGTGAAGAAAATGCTGGGACAGTTTTTTACACATTTAACCAGAGCAGTGGGAGTAGCAGACATTGCAGGATTGTCATGCTTGGGACCTGAAGCCTATGAAAAACCCACATCAATGACGCAGATTTCAGAGACCTGATATGATGTTCTAGATGGTAGGGGTCTTTGGAAGAAAGCTGGAAAGTGTTCCGCAGATGGAAGATGCGTCTTGGCACTTCTGCATGAGTAATGGAGCTGCAGTGCACTCCCCCAGAGAGCCTCAGGGTTTACAAACAGACTGATTCCCCAATGTGGGGCATGTTACTCAGTGCTGCAGAGATAGGAACAGAATAATAGTGGAGAACATTTCTTCCCCCAAAGAGGTAACTTTTTAGAGGGGGGAGCAATGAAGACTATGGAACAGGGCTTGGTGAGGCAGGGGCTGTGGGACCCCTATGCTGGTAATCTGGTGAGGGGCTCAGATCTCTCAAACTGATAGGCTGGTGTGGGATGGGACATGGCCAGGGCTTCTACCTAGGGACATGTCCAGTGGTGACACATATTGCAGGGTGGTGACCAGCCATCTATCTCTTCTAGGACTACTTGGACCTGGCTGCATCTACCCCATCCGACTCCCTGCTTTATGATGATGGTCTCTCAGAAGAGGAGACGCCCCTGGTGGACTGTAATAATGCTCCCCTCCCTCGAACCCTCCCTTCCACGTGGATTGAAAACAAACTCTATGGTAGAATTTCACATGCATTTACTAGATTCTAGTGACATTGTTCCTCTCTGCACTGTCCTTACTCTCTGGAATGCTTTTTAAGAGTCTTTCTTGTCTGAATGAAACCAAAGTCCACTCTGAACCTTTTTCTTTGTAATGTCTGACTTTGCATCCTTTTACATTTAGGCATTTTTGCAGCTACGTTTTTTTTTAAAGGATGTGAAAATAAGTGTAACTACCATATTGCCCAGCAATTTAAGATGATAGAGAGCAGGGGAGAACATTCAGGGGATATTGAGAAAATGATGAATAAGTCATTTTTGGGGTGGGTATCAAGTCATAGTACTTCTAATTTAACTACTGGGATATACTTACCCAATTGCGGCGGGGGGGGGGGGTGGCGTGTAATTTAGAAAGGAGGGGCCAGCACCACCCTGCCTGCACTGAGTTCAGCCAGTGGTTCCCCCAACCCTGTCTGGGTGGGTGGGCAGCTCTGGGAGACCCCTTGGTAGGGGTGTTCCCAGCTACATGTCCCACATCGGAGAGGTCACACACAAGCTGCTGTTTTCACATCCTTTGCATTACACACTGTCATGACAGTTGTCACTTAAGAAGTCAGCGCTAAAAGCTAGAGTAAATGCTTTTTGAAATAATGTAGTCTGTGGTGCTGTGGTCTTGCAATGGACAGTAAATGCGGTTCTTGCCAAAACTCCTTCTTTTGTCTTCAATTAAATACTTGAAAATTTTTTCTGTTTCCTAACTTCATCATTGATTGTTTTTTGAAATCTTGGAGTTTCAAGCATTTTGCAGCTGAGATTGTTCTTTTTGCATTTCTTTGAGTCACTTGATTCCTTGCTGGCTTTGGGTCTAGTGCTACATGCCATTTCTCCTGTCACTGCTGTGGAACTCACCTTTGTGCACCCTTGATCTGGAAGATCCTCTCCCCCAGGATTACAGTCATTTTATAGAAGCTGCCTGCTGCAGCGAGCCATTTAGTACAGCAATGTGCTGGTGCTTTACTCTGCCTTAGAAAAGTTAGATAGGCCATCAAATATACGCAGGTTTGAGAGTCTGAAGCTTATAGAAGTCAAAATTGGTAGTTTCTGTTAAGTTACAGTTACCAAGAGAGCTCATAATATTTCCTCTAAACATGTGTTTCGGAAACCTGGAGCATGAAACCATTCATGTAATTGGCACAGAAACCAGAAGTTTGGTTTGAACCTCAAAGGGAGTTTTGCCAAGGCTTTACTGTCTGCACATGAAATTTTGATTCTTCAGTGCAGAACAAATGATCTGTTTTCATTTTTAGGCATGTCAGACCCGAACTGGCCTGAAGAGAGTCCTGTACCACTCACGAGAGCCGATGGCACTAACCCTGGGTGTCCAAGATATGCAAATGATAGTGTATATGCTAACTGGATGGTTTCACCCTCAGCGGCACAATTAATGGACTCATTTGATAGTTAACATTTCTTTGTGAAAGGTAATGGACTCACGAGGAGAGGAAACCTGCTGAAACCATCACTGGTCCCTCATTTTTTCTTTTCCTTTGGCTGGTGACTTTCCCTCCTAGCAGACGTTGTGCTCTGGATGGGAGCTACGAGTGTAGTGGTCAGGTCCTTCCTTCCTCTTCAGCCCTCAGCAGCGTCAGTGTTGGTCTGTGTTCATCAGGGGTCACCATATTCTTTGCTCACTCATTTGATTCCCTCACTCATTACATGGTCTGTTTGATTTTTCTTGTTGCCACCAAATTTGGCAATGATATTTAAATATAAAACACACACACACACACCCCCCCCACAAAGACAGCAAGGAAAAAAACTGGCCCAAACAACTTGTCCTCATTGAGAATGGGAGCCTTGGAAAGGCCCAGTGGTGGTGTCAAAACCCTGCCGGGGCTGGAGTGGGAGAGGGGATCTTGGGACCCGTCTCAGCTCAGCATTCAAGATCCTGAGAATATTTTTCTTAATTAAATGATTCTTAGGCTTAGCACAATGCAGATATTTCATGCCATATTTGCCATGTAGATAGTCAGTGTAAAGGAAGAGAGCTCACAGACATATTTTCCCCATCACTGAGTGGTCATGACCCTGTCAAGAACAGTATGAAGAAAAAGGGCATTGGATTAGAATGGCCTCCAGTCCAGAGACTGCTGACAGCAGAGATGTGGCTGCTGTGAAACCATCCCCAGCTTTTAATACACTATATACCCAGCACCAAAAAGGAGTGGCTCATGTATGAGTGGGTGGAGCTGGTACTCAGTTTAAAAGGGACTGTTTAGCTAGTTATGTTAGAAGTAACATTGACAATGACCAAGGAGTACTACACTTCCGATTACAATTCTGATGTGAAAAAGACAGTGTTTTGGCTCGTAGAGAGCTTGTATGAAAAAGTACATGTATCCACTCTCCCTGCGTTTGTAACTTAATGCTGGTATAGCAAGACATTTTTAGATTCTGACCATGATTCATAAGCTTCCTATCATTCCTCTCTGCTTGTTTATGGTCATAGACACTGTATTCCTTCCATTTTGTGGGAGTAGCTTTTGGAAAGTCCTGGTAGTTCTTCTGTTGTGAGCACTGTAACTTTACTGGGGAGGATTGGTTACCAAACACTGTCTGGTCTTCAGATATAAAGCACTGTGAAAGGATTCAAGTGTAGTTTTATTATAATACTGTATTTTATTGTCATTTCACAAGAGCAGTAAAATTATGGCATTTCTGTGGCCAAAAAGGCTTGGCTGAGCATCTTTTGGAGCCTCATGGTGTGTGTGTATGCTTCTGTATACACACCCAAGGAGAGAGCTGGAAAAAAAACTTACTGGAGATATAACATAGCTGTAGTTGGGCCAATTTTCAGATACACTATAATTAGTTCTTTTACAAATATCTAGTTGTAAGCTTTGGTTTTCAGATGTGCTTAATGCTAATCTTATTAAATAAGAATAAACTCTCAAATTATTAAAAATGCCTACTCAATAGGTGAGTTGCTATAACAGGTTTGTTTTTATCAGGGTGATAACCTTGGGTGTCAGCGCTGACTCAGTGATTAACTCTTAACTGATAATCCACTTGTCTAGTCCTAAACTATAAAAGTACTCATACTTCTAATCCTATCAGAAGTTTCCTTCATATATGCAGAAGTTACTAAGTATTAAGTATTATGGAGTATTAAGTAGCAATTTTTCAGTTATTAAAATTTGTAAAATCTATTTATGAAAGGTTATTTAAATCATACCACATTAATTTGCTTTTGTAAATCAAGGTAACTAAGAAAACAATTTCAGTTATGTGAATAAAATCATGTATCATAAAATGTCTAAACTAATTTTCTCTATTTAACATCCTAGTTGGAAACATCAGCCTTTTGATTTTGAAGTTTCAATGCAAGGATAACAATGTCACAAGGGAATCTATTGGAGTAACCACTAAGGAACTAACAGTGATGGAAGGTTAGGAGGCACTTGGTGATATTAGCAACACGTCTTGCACAATATGTATGTGTAGGGTAAATGGAGGCAGCCTGGCTTCCTCACCCAGATGTCTGGGCAACTAAGGGAAGCAGTTTCCCATAACCTTGAGAATGGGCCTGATAAGTAGTGTTCTCATAGCCTTGAGAGTGGGTCAGATAAGTATTCCCATAGCCTTGAGTAGGCTCACATGCGCAGAATCTTGCTATGTTATACAACCTGTTTTGGCCCTCTGCCAGCTTTTCTTCTGTTCGGTATTTAAAGGGTTAAGGACTCCCCACTGGGTGCCATGCTGAAGGACAAGTACTACTCTGGGTGGCATGCAGATGGACAGGTAACATACAGAGACATGCAGGGGGAAACGCAGCTTGCAGCATGTGTGGCCTGCCCACCCTTGAATAAAGGCATGGCAAGCATTCCCAACGGCTCCGTGAATATTCTTCTGTCTGTTCGAATTACATGAACCTGTCCACCCTTGAAGGGTTGCAACACAGTTGGTGTTGATGGCAGTATTTATCGCAGGAGCCTCGGGGGTCCCCAAGAGGAGGGCCTGGACAAGTGGCCAGGCTCCTGGTGGCTTGGCCTCCCACCCTTGGATTAGTCCAATGTTAGTGGCATACCCAAATAGAGAAAGCCCTGCGGATGGTGAGGAAGACCCTAGAAAAGCCCAGTACCTGTGTGGCTGTGGGGGCCCTGGGCTGAGTGTTTCTTTCAGCTTTGCGACTTGCGGAAGTTCCAAGATTCCCCGGAGGGATCAGAAGCCCTGAAGGCTGAAGAAGAGGAAACTGCACTTCCAATGCAACAAAGTTGCCGGAACACCAAGTCAGAAATGAAGCCCCGGAGGCTTGAATCTGCGTGCTGTCCTAAAACCTCCAAGCGGCTGAGCTGCTGCAATCCCCTCCCCACTCCTGAGTGATTCAGGGGAAAATGTGGAGTAGAGAGGAACTAGGTTCCCTGAAGGCAGCAGCCTATGGTGCGTGGGGGAAATTTGGGTCTGGGAATCCCTCCCCCCCCCCACCCCCACACAGATGTGGAACACAGTTTCGGAGGGCAACTGGGAAGAAGGACTTGGGCAGACTCAGAAAGCAAAGGCGGGGCGGGGTGGGGAGGACCTCCGTGGGCAGATAGCACGCGCTGTGCCTCGGAGTCCAGGCCAGGCCTGCGGAGCTGAGTTTTGCAGTGGCATTCCAGAAGGCGGGGCTGCCCAGGGAGGTGCTGATGCTGGTGCGACCAAGGAAGCTATGAGAAAGCATGCTGGAGCTGGCACAGAGAAGACGCTGGTGGTGGGCTCCTGGCCTGTGGAACTGTGGAGACCGCGGTGCTGCCGCCACAGTCGCAGGCGATGGCGTTGGCCGTCTGCGTGGCCCCCAGAAGACCTCAGCAGCAGGAGCCCCAGAGAAGTGGGTGGCCCAAGTTGCCGGAGTGGCAGAAATGGTGGCAGGGCGACCCGAGGGTTTGCAATGGCGGTGCCAGCAACCAGCACTCACCCTGGTGGCGGGCTGGGTGGATGTAGGAGACGCTCCAGGCGCAGCGGCCAGGGCCTAAATACACTGGCAGTAAAGGCAGTACAGCTGCAAAAGGATCTAGAGCCTGCGGCCAGTGCGTCGGGTCTCCAGACACCACAAGTGGGGAGCTCCTGGTGCCCACACACCGGCATTGGGTGCAGGCCTAAATTATCTGTGCAAAACCTGGGGGTGTGACCTGAAAAGGCCCGTCCTGTGCATCTAAAAGACGATATGGCTGTGCCAACCTCCCAAGAAGAAGGAGGAAATATCCTTTGAAAATTTGAAAAGGGAAATGGCTGGAGTAACCTGTCTATAGGGGACAGGTGGGGACTGATCTGAAGGGTGACTGTCCCCTGTGAGTATACTGTTTAGGTGTCCTCCATTCCTGAGTATATCCTGGGTATCAATGTACTCCATGGTCTGTGGCTACACACAACCACAGGAGAGTTTTACCTGTGGGTACAAGTAGTAAAAGCCATTTTGTGGGGATATGCTGAACATCACCCCCAAAAACCCTTACCATTGCCATCCCCATTACAAGTAATGGGGTGAAACAATACTGGTTGCCTGGAGGACATGAAAGTTGTAGAAGGTGGGAATAATCAGGACTGCCCACAGTCCTTTTAACTCTCCTGTGTAGCCAGGGAAAAAGCCAGATGGTACATGGAGAATGACAGTTGGTTCCCAGGATCTCAATAAGGTCATTCCTCCAATACATGCAGCAGTCCCTTCTGTGGTGGACTTCATGGACCAGTTAACTAATGAGCTGGTAATTTAGCATTTTGTAGCTGATCTAGCAAATGACTTTTTCTCCATTGATATTACTCCAAAGATTCAAGATCAGTTTGCCTCGCACATGGTAAGGCCAAAATGGACTTTTACAGTGCCCCCTCAAGGGTGCTTGCACAGCCTGACTGTCTATTATGGACTTGTGGCAAAGGACCTGACTAAGTGGCACAGCCTCCAGAAGTTCATCTGTTTTACTACATTGATGACATTTTGCTAACCAGTGATTCTCTTGCAGAATTAGACAAGGCAGTGACACAAGCAATATCCCACTCTAAGTCATGTGGCTGGGCAATCAATGAAACCAAGCCACAAGGGCCCGGATTGTTTGTCAAATTCTTGGGGGTTGTTTGGTCAGATAAGACAAAAGTCATCCCTGATGCAGTGATAGATAAAATTCAGGCATATCCAACCCCTACCATTATGAAACTGCTTCCCTTAGTTGCCCAGACATCTGGGTGAGGAAACCAGACTGCTTCTGTTTACCCTACAGTATGTGAACAGTCACATTATAGAAACATAAAATCTCACTAGTTCTGCTATTCAAAGAAATCCTTCAGGTTTCCTTCTCAAGAACAGAGCAACAGCCAGTGTCAGGTTCAGGTATTTGCCCTTCCATGGCAACTTGCTTGCTGCTTATTTCTTGAAGCTGGAGTTGGACAGCTGTGGGACAGAGATGTAGAAGACTATGGTCTTGACTGAAAGTCTATTAGAAGTTGGAAAAATTATGTCCTAAACCATTGTGAAGTTTAAAATACAAAATGCTTCTGTTTCCATTCTCCTGGACTATGTAGGAATTCTATGAGCTCCTCCTCAAAATGCCTGGCAAGGAGCAGGTGGGCCAGTTGTCAAACATGAGTTGTTACCAACATAAATCTGATTTGTAGTTGCTGAGGGCTATGTCATTCCCTAGGTGCATACATATGCATATGCACACATAGCTCCTCTGTGCCTCACCCAAGGGCTACCCAGGCCTTGGTCCTACAGCTGCTGACCCTCAGTGCCTGTATCTGCTTTCAGCTTCTTCCTTCTTCAAGCCAGACCACGGGGACTAGAAATAAACCTAATTTCTAGGTTCCATTATTTGTTACAGCCTTTACCTCTGAATGCTTAGAAACCTATAATGAGAAAAACTAATACTAAAATATTAATAGCCCCTTTTCAGGAGTATAGAACTCCCATTAGGAGTGTTTGTGTTTGGTTAATTTTTATTAAAAAGCACATTCTCCAAATCTGCTTTTAATAAAAGCACAGCCTCCACAAACAATTCCTTGCCACAACAAGGCCAGCTTATTTGGGTGCAGATTTAGTTGAATGAAATTTCTGAGAATAGGACTTGGACAAATACTTTATATATAAAAGAAAATTCAAAGGAAAAACACAATTTACCACAGTACAAATAAACCTTTTTTCCAAGGCAGAGCAGTAAACAGCTTTCTCTCATTCTTCCAGCATATTCACACAAAGGATATTTAGTTGGTGGTATTTAGGGTGGTTCTGGGAAGTGCCTAAAAAATTCTTACCTCTGTGGCCCTAGAAGATGTAGTGAGAGGGTATGAGGGACATGTGGAGCATGAGGATCTTCCCCCTCATATCTCAGCATAAAGACATGTGTAGACCCCTGGCTGGTGTGGCTCAATGGATTGAGCACTGGCCTGTGAAAGGGTCGCCAGTTCAATTCCCAGTCAGGGCACATGCCTGGGTTGTAAGACAGGTCCCTGGTGGGGGGCATGCAAGAGGCAACCACACACTGACGTTTCTCTGCCTCTCTTTCTCCATCCTTTTCCCTCTCTCTAAAAATAAATAAATAAAATCTTTTTTAAAAAAAGACATGTGTGGAGTTTATCTGCTTATCTGCCATTATATACATAAAGCACTCTCACTGCTTAGGCTGTCTGCCATCCCCATCCCTTCTCCACCGCAGCAGCTTCAATGGCGTTGTTAGAACTTTGTAGAGTCTCCCATCTCTTTAGGAAGCTACCATTCATGTGAAGAGTTATATCAGCTAAGATGATATGAAACCAGAACCTGTAGGTAGAGAAGTTTTCAATTTAGGGCACACTGCCATGTTCTGCAGCTGAAGCTGAATATGTGGTTGTCTGACAGCTGGGAGAATAAGCTTCACTCCTTAAGCTAATGAGGCACACACTTTGAACACACACACCCACCCCACAAAAAAAATCATGGTTAATCCTTACAACTCAGGTTTTGATTGTCATGTCAAGTTACAAGATATTTTTACAGATATTTCTGAGATGTGCTAAATCATAGGACCTGGTGAACCAAGATCTCTCAGTGAGAACCCAGGCAAGGGAGCATGACAGGGAGGACATCTGGCTGTGGTGGCTGCAGACTGCAGGGACATCAGCATCACAAGGAACTGGGCCATGCCCATGGAGGGAGCAATGACCTGAGACTACCCCAACAACTGTAACTCTAGGAGTTCTGTCCCACACAAGGAAAGAGCATAATCCTGCATCCCTTCCAATAATAC